CCCTCTACTCACTTAACCCCTCCCTCCACCCTCCCTTTCCCTTGTCCCCTTTCAGAAACATGCTGTTTACATATCCAATAAGGCAAAAACAAGCTTGTGCATGTTAATTTGAACAGATGGGGTTTTGATAAGTGATTTAGAAGAATGATCCTGACATAAGTGGAGACCTGTCCAGGGTCCTTTCTTCATCTTTATCTTCCCCTGCTTGCTCTGCTTTTCTTCCCCAGGCTCCTGCCCCCCCTGCAAGCCTAAGATGGATAAGCGGTTAAGAAAATTGCTGGGTGGATGGATACTGACATAAGCTTTACAAAGCTATAGCTCCAATAAGAAAAAGCCCTGTCACTTATTCTCTTTTAACTCAGACTTATCCAAAAAATACCCTATATCTAAAACTGTGCCGAGAGTCATTTCGGCTTAAAAGGTTAGAGATGAGCTAGAGGTTAGACTAGGACGATCCAAAGAAGCTATCCATAAAATCCCAGTAACAACTCTAAAACTGGCAGCCTATTAAGTAAGACTATAGAGCAACTGGTACTGAGGTCAGAAGGGTTCAAAATTTAACAAAAGTAAGCAATATTTCATGTTATGAAAGTTATTTTAGTCTTGTGTTTACAGAAATTTGATTGTCTACCCAATACATTTATTTTAATTCCTTTAGTTTTTACATCTATACATGTATTTTTCCATTTTATTTTATACTACCACTTTTTCTCACAGTGATTTCATTTGTCAGTCAGAGCGTGTACACTATGTGACTGATTAGTTTTCCTAAAACGCGTGAGGCTTTCTGTAGACTCAGATTAGCACCGGGGAAAGTAAACTGTCTCGGGGAAATGAGCGTTCCATAGACTGTATGTAAAGACAGAAATTATATCAACACTTCCTGACATTAAGCAAAAGGGAAATGAAATATATTCGTGTAACATCTCAGTCTTTATACCTGTTATGTTACTTAAATTTATATTCTATTACCTCTATATTGTTATAGTGTTCATTGTCTCAGACACTACCCAAGGTAAATAAACAAATAAATATGTTTTAAAGGTGAAATGTACTGTATGTTTCCTAACCCATAAACTCTAAACTACTGTTTGAAATGTCTTTTAAAAAAATGAGTAAATGATATCATTGATAAATAATAAGAAGAAGAATTTGTTAAGTAACAGCCAAAATTGTAAGGTCAGATTAACAACTGTGGGCTTTATGGATGGAAGACACTTTGGTGAAATTTCTATGGAAAAAAAAAAACAATCAGTCCATTTTTGCTTGTTATCAGTCCAGAGTTTGTTTTTTCAGATCTTTAGTTTTATTTCCATTCCAAAAAAATTGTAAATAATACTGTAAAACAGCCACAACACTGATGTTATTGAACCAGTCCTAAAAACTCTCACTGACTCTATTAAATTTAATGCAACAGATAAATAAAATACAGCCAATATTACTTACATTTAAGTCATAGTAATACTATGCAGCCTCTTCAGTTTATGTATGATAAATTTTCAAAATTCAATTCAGTTTTATTTATATGGTGCCAAATTACAACAACATTCACCAAAAGGAGCTTTACATTGTAAGGTAAAGACCCTGCAATAATATAGAGAAAACTCAAGCAATCAGAATACCACCTATGAGCAAGCACTTGGTGAAAGTGGGAATGAAAAACTCCTTTTTAACAGGAAGAAACCTCCATCAGAACCAGGCTCAGGGAAGGGCTCCGACTGTTGCGACCAGTTAGGAGTGAGCGGAGGTAGACAGGACAAAAGACACACTGTGGAAGAGAGCCAGAGTTTAATAATAATTAATGATTGAATGCAGAGCGATGTATAAACACATAGAGAGCAAAGAAAAGGTGAGTGAAGAAGAAACACAGTGCATCATCGGAAGTTTCCAGCAGCCTAAAACTTTTGCAGTTTTAGCCAAACCATACAAATACAGAGTGTCTGTCTCCCAAATTCAACACAGATGAGGGGCCTGAAAGCTGAAGGCTCTGTCTCCCATTCTACTTTTAAATACCATAAGAACCACAACCAGCCCATTAGTATGGCACCATGGTACTATTAGATCTGTAGTCCCTGTCTGTACTCTTGGGTCAGCATTTTAGATCAACTGAAGGCTATTCAGGGAGTTTTGGGGACAGCCTGATAACAATGAATTGCAAAAGTCCAGCATAGAAATAATGAATGCACCAACTAGATGCATGACATGCATGAAAAATGGCACTGGTTGCGTTTTTATAACAGATACACAAAGTTCTGGGATGAAATGGCTGCACGGGCACTAAAATAAATTACATTTGTAAGTGCCTCTTAAAAATTAAAAATTACTACATTGGCTCTAAAGTTTTCAAGTTCATTGAAATTAATTTTAACAAATGTGTATAGTTCCGCTCAGTCTTTTTGGTGAACAGAGAGGATTAAACCTAAATGTATTTTATTTCTGAGTGTTTCATATTTTTGAGGCTATGTAAAGACTACTCTACACTGTCAACAATATATGTCATTACTAATGTACTGTATATGCCACTTTTCTTTTGATTCTGTGAGTGTCCTGTGATCATTTATTAAAAACCAACACCATCAGATCGGGTTCTCATACTTCAAGGAATGACAAAGTACAGGTTAGCTCAAAAATGATACAGCAGTCTATCCAATTATTGGGTGTTTTTTTGTATCATTATGAGCTTTCTCTAGTACTCAGCTGCCTGATTTTGTATGTTTGAGCACTGTCTTAAAATTAAATTCATAAACAGCTCATATAAAGAACTGACCCTGGAGGGAAAATGTTATGAGTTTTACAGATGCTTAAGGTTGGCAAGGTAGCTTTGAGAAGTTAGCAAAACAAAAATAACCAACTTATCCCACGTAATGCAGGTGAGAAGTTTACGTAAGTGCTCTTGACTGCAGCAGTTCACTTTGCAATGCAGTTAGTGAACCAAAAAGAAAGATGTACACGAATTAGCAATCACAGTACGCTTCTTCTCTAATACAGTCTGAGCTGCAGATCTTAATCTGACTTAATGTGGTGTTGCATATGTCTCATATCTAACATGTGCCTCGATTGACAGAGTCATTAGTTCTTAACATGCACCATGTCTCTATATAATTATATTAAAATTAATAGAATGATTCTGCATTCTATTAATTTTGTGTGGTATTGGACATATATTTGTTTTATGTGTGTGTTTTTTGTAATTTAGGTGTGTAATTTTGTATTTTATAAATGTTGTATGTTTTGTCTCATTTTTATAGTTAGCTTGTTATTGTTTTGTCACTTTGTGGAAGTTTTAATTATGACCTGTCAGGGGACTGCAGATAGAAATGAGTCTCACGCAGACTGTGGTAAAATGCATCAAATGGTACCACGTGTTTAAAATTGTGCACGGTCCCTTACAAATAACAGTATTTAAGGCGTGTTTGATTAAACTTTTTCACATTTTAATCAGAACATTAAACATTTGTTTGTTTCTGTAATTGAATTAGATTAATTTATGTCATATTTATTCTGTGAGTTTTCATAATTTCATTTGAAAGTTGTGGAAACATACTCGGGTCTCTGTTTTAAATTACACTAAAATATATTTGCACACATGAAGTAAACAGGATGATTTGGGAGAGTTTGCATGGGGTCAACCTGGAAAAAGATGATAGAAGAAGTCATAAATAAAGGATCAAAACAGACATCTAAGTTTGTTTTGAAGTGGATATTACAGCGCAAGCAAAGAGATCATATTTAAGATTTGTTCCAAAACCTAACCAAACCAAAAACAGAGACTTTTCAAATCACAGAAAATATGTATTTTTGGAGTGGTTTGCAACAACACTGGAGGGTAAATAATCTTCCTTCACATGCCTAACATCTGTTTCTTCTGCAGGGCATGGACCTGTTGTGTGATGAGGAGTTCTGCAATAATAGTCCCGCATTAACATTCTCAGTTACGTAAGGAGGAGTTTATCTCCTATG